TTTCGGACTTCTCCTCAAAATTTTAAAACGCATTTGTTAGGGAGAGATTTTCACACCCTTATAAGAAATGTTTCGTCCCACTCTCGAACCGATATAAGATCTCACAACATTCTAAGCTAGGTTCTAATTAATACACTCCAAAAGGTCGCACTCTCTTCCATCATGTGCGAGTTTCGGGAGAAATGGTTACCTGTCGTACATCACAACTTTAAACTAAAATTAACCAATCCACTTATTGAAGTGTGATTAATGGAGCTTTTAATATTACGTACCCCTTGGTTGTCTTACACAACTAAAGATTTGTGGGGCACCCCTTGTTCTTGTCTCCATTAACATTCACACAATTGAATCTCCTCCATAACTTATCTTCAGTCTTAGCCACCCAATTCATTTCTCTTCTATTTGTCCTGATTTGATAATTCAATCTAACAGTTCAACCTCACCGTTAGTAGATATTGTCCTCTTTCGACTTTTTCTTTTGAGATTCCTCTAAAAAAATGCTTCGTTCTCCAACCGATGTGAGATCTCACAATTCGCTCCCTTTTGAAGCTTAGCGTCCTCGTTAGAACTCGTTCTCTTCTCCAATTTCAATATGGGACTTCCCAATCCATCCCCATTCAGGGCCTAACGTTTTTGCTAGCACAACGCCTCATGTCCACCCCCTTCGGGTTTAGCTTCTTCGTTGACACATAGCCCGGTGTCTGACTCTAATACCATTTCTAACGATTCAAGCCCACTGCTAGCACATATTGTCCTCTTTGAACTCTCCCTTTCGAGTTTGCCTTTGAAGTTTTTAAAAAACGTGTCTGCTAAGAAGAGGTTTCCACACCCTTATAAAAAATTATTCGAATGATTCGTTCTCCTCTCCAACCGATATGGATCTCACAATAACGTATGAATTCACCGAGAATGACATAGTAATAACATAAATTAACATCTAATTATGGAGCAAAAGGACAGCAAAAGGTGTCCGAACGGAATAATATTATTTATAATTATAAATTAAATTCAACAAAAAGTGGAAAAAAGGGTAAATGGAATAATAATATTTAAAATTTGTCTGAAAGAAATGAGAGATTCTTTCATGGGAGTTTCTGTTGAGAATGTGTGGGATAAAATTATTGAATTAAAAATCTAAAATGCAGACACGCATCTTGGTACCCGTGCACTGTTTGTCTTTCTCCGCTTCACTTAAAACGACACCGTACTTTATATAATCTTTTATTTTTTTATTTTAATTTATATCATAAATACTATAAACACCACACTCGTAAAATTATTTGTTTTGTTAACCATTATCTACTCACGTTTAAAAAATTAAAATGTAGTTATTAAAATTTTGGTTTATTTTTTAAATTTTGAGTAATATATTCAAAATAGTAAACAAGCTTAAATGTTAAAGAAATTAATAAAAATTCTCCCAAGTAGTTTGTCTAAAAAAAAATACTATTCCATTTTTAAAATTTTCAATAATAATTTTAAACTTTTAAAAATATCCATACTATTACCCTTAAATATTTAATAGTATTTTAAAGAAAATCATTAAAAAACCCTACTATTATTTTAAAGGGTTTAAAAATACTTTTACTATTATACTATATTTAAAAAATATCCACAAAATTTTAAAAGTAGCATTACATTAACATATATTTGTAAAAATTTTTAATGTTATTTTTAAAAGTTTATGAGCATTTTTTAATAGTGATATAAAAGTAAAATTCAAGAATATTTTTGAGAATTTTAAAAAATATAAAAATAAAACTTTTAAAAATTCAACTCTATTTTAAAAAATAAAACTTTTAAAAGTTTAAAGAATATTTTTGAAATAAATTATTAATTTTTATTTAAAATTAAATATTTTTTAACATTTTTGAGAAGTATAAGTATATATTTTTAGATTTTTTTTTTTTTTTTTTTACTACTTTAACATTTTAAAATTTAAAAATATTTTTGAAGTAAAGTGAGTAAGTTAAAATAACTCATTTTTATTAATTTAGCAAACACAAACACTAAAAACAAAATCACAGAATCACCATCAACCTGTAGCTATCAAACTCACTTCAAAAGGTAGTTTTTAAATTTTTTATTATAATATCTTCAGAATTAACCGAAAGAATATATAATTTAAAAAGTGAAAGAAAAGAGGTGAATTCAAAATTTTAAAATTTTACCTTTTCTGGGGGCACTCAAATTTTCAATTTGGACAAGTACAGGCCACAGGGGTATGGTGTGGTATGGTATGGTGATGGAATATAACGGGAGTCTCAAACTAAATTCCAAGGAATAGAGTGCTAAAGTAACTCCCATTTACCAATTAATTTTAACCCAACCCCAACCCCTCTTCAATCTTTACTGCTTCCCTACGCGTTTTATTTACCACATTTGTACCCCTCACGCACTCCCACTACACCCACTTCCTTTTTAAACTTTTCTTCTTTCACTGCCACTGTCAAAGCATCGGCAGCCCATTGCCACACCACCACCACCACCGCCTCCTCCTCTCTCTCTCTCTCTCTCTCTCTCTCTCTCTCTCTCTCTCTCTCTCACTCATGGCTGCTCTTCTTCGAGTGCTCTTTCTCTTCTCTCTCCTCCTCCCACTTTCTTCTTCTTCAATCGATAATTCCAAGAAGACCTTCATTGTGCAGGTTAACAGAGATGCCAGCAAGCCTTCCATTTTCCCAACACACAGGCACTGGTACGAGTCCTCTCTGGCCTCCATCTCTCCCAACAAGCCAACACCGTCACAACCAGATGCTTCTGGTAGCGATGGACCCATCATTCATACATATGAAACCCTCTTCCATGGCTTCTCTGCAAAGCTCTCACCTTTTGAAGTTCAGAACCTTCAAACCCTTCCCCATATCGCCGCCGTCATCCCTGAACAGGTTCGCCATCCTCATACAACTCGTTCCCCTGAGTTTCTTGGCCTTACGACCTCTGATAGTGCAGGGTTGCTTAAAGAGTCCGACTTTGGATCTGACCTTGTAATCGGAGTTATCGATACTGGTATTTGGCCGGAGAGGCAGAGCTTCAATGACCGCGATCTGGGTCCAATTCCTTCCAAATGGAAAGGCCGGTGCTTGGAGTCTAAACACTTCCCAGCCACCTCTTGCAACCGTAAGCTTATTGGGGCTCGATTCTTCTGTAGTGGGTACGAGGCCACCAATGGAAAGATGAACGAGACCACCGAGAATCGCTCGCCGCGTGATTCCGATGGTCATGGTACTCACACGGCGTCCATTGCTGCAGGTCGTTACGTGTTTCCAGCTTCAACTTTAGGCTACGCTCGTGGTAAAGCGGCCGGAATGGCTCCTAAGGCCCGTCTTGCTGCCTATAAAGTCTGTTGGAACGCCGGCTGCTACGACTCTGACATTCTTGCAGCTTTTGATGCTGCCGTTTCCGACGGTGTGGATGTGGTATCACTCAGCGTCGGCGGTGTGGTTGTGCCGTACTATCTCGATGCCATCGCTATTGGGGCTTTTAGAGCGGTGGCAGCCGGTGTTTTTGTCTCGGCATCAGCCGGTAACGGTGGCCCAGGTGGGCTCACTGTGACTAATGTAGCACCATGGGTTACAACAGTAGGAGCTGGAACCATGGATAGAGATTTTCCTGCTGATGTTAAGCTGGGAAACGGGAGGGATATACTAGGTACTAGTGTCTACGGCGGACCGGCTTTGGTTCCTGGTCGTATGCATCCTCTAATTTATGCAGGAACCGAAGGCGGTGATGGGTATTCTTCGTCTCTATGCTTAGAAGGCTCATTGAACCCAAATCTAGTGAAAGGGAAGATTGTAGTATGTGATAGGGGCATAAATTCAAGAGCTGCTAAAGGTGAGGTTGTGAAAAAGGCTGGAGGATTAGGAATGATTTTAGCAAATGGGGTCTTTGACGGTGAGGGTTTGGTAGCTGACTGCCATGTTCTACCCGCCACTGCCGTCGGTGCAGCCGGCGGCGACGAGATCCGCAAATATATTGCAGAAGCAGCGAAGTCTAAGTCACCGCCAACAGCTACAATTTTGTTCAAGGGAACTCGGCTTGGAGTCAGGCCAGCACCAGTTGTTGCTTCATTTTCAGCTCGAGGTCCTAATCCAGAGTCCCCTGAAATCGTGAAGCCTGATGTGATTGCGCCAGGATTGAACATTCTTGCCGCTTGGCCTGATAAAATTGGGCCCTCTGGAATTCCCACAGACAAGCGTACCACAGAGTTCAACATACTTTCCGGCACTTCCATGGCCTGTCCTCATGTCTCTGGCTTGGCTGCTCTGCTTAAAGCGGCACACCCAGGATGGAGTCCAGCCGCTATAAAATCAGCCCTAATGACCACAGCTTATACCTTGGACAACAGGGGTGAGACAATGTTAGACGAATCTTCAGGCAATACTTCTACGGTCTTAGACTTTGGAGCTGGTCATGTTCACCCACAAAAGGCAATGGACCCTGGCTTAATCTATGACCTGAACACATATGATTATGTAGATTTCTTGTGTAACGCCAACTACACCACTAAGAACATCCAAGTTATTACGGGGAAGATTGCAGATTGCAGCGGGGCAAAAAGGGCTGGCCATACTGGGAATTTGAACTACCCTTTATTGTCTGTGGTGTTTCAACAATATGGTAAACAAAAGATGTCTACGCATTTCATTAGAACTGTGACCAACGTTGGGGACGCTAATTCTATCTACAAGGTAATAATCAAGCCACCAAGAGGAATTTCAGTGACTGTGGAGCCAGAAAAGCTGGCGTTCAGAAGGGTTGGGCAAAAATTGAGCTTCTTGGTTAGGGTCCAAGCAATGGCTTTAAGACTTTCCTCTGGGAGCTCTAGCATGAAGAGTGGTTCCATAGTTTGGACTGATGGAAAGCACGTAGTTACTAGTCCTTTGGTTGTCACCATGCAGCAACCCCTGCAGTAGAATCCCATAATTTTGTTCTTCCCAAGTACCTAGTTTTCTTCTCTGTATGTAAAATGGAAATGCTTTTCCTCTTCTTTTCTTCTAATATTTTTGCTCTTTTTTTAAGTTTTCAATATCAGAAAACTGGTGGGGTTTGGTTTGTAACACACGACGGGTTAAGGATGATGAATGTCTTTGGTTGTAAGACTATGGAGATGAATGCAAAAGTCTTTCTCCGGAATCATGTTGTGGGTTGAATTTCGCTTTCCATCAAAAAACTATATAGAGCAATTATGCCTTGGCAATCCAATTTTTTAGTCAAAAGAACATAGGCACACGTATGCTGAAAGCATTAACAGCTTCAAACTACAATGGGGACAGTCATTTAGACAGAAACACAAGTGGGGCTCGTTGTAAAGGTAAATGGCCTATCCCACTTAACTCCATTGTTTATTGACTCTTTGTAAGCTTGTAGTTGCAACTCCTTGCCTTTCGGCTTTCCCTTTCCACGTCCAGCAAACACAAGAATGTTCCTATTCTATGTATTGACACGCTAGTAATATAGAATTTGGGATATCATTTCTTTTCACATGGATCCAGAGTTTGTTTTTTTATTATAATGAACACAATATGAGATTGACTATGGTGAAGTGTAGTGCACTCAAATTTTCATCAGTCAATCCGTGTTTCAAGCAAGTAACAAGAGATAAACAAGAGTTCACGAACTGTTTGATTAAATTCCCATCAGTAAGTTCAAATTGCGAGAGATGAGAAATACCTGGCGATGGTCCTCCATCGTCAATCATCAGTGTAAAAGACTGAATCTCAGCAGTTTATGATCTGGAAGAACGAGTAAAATCATAAGCTACCGCCGTATACGGAATTGAATACCATCGAAGAAAATGGAAATTGAAGAACCAATAATTACGAGGATAGAATTACACTTGCCTTTCCAGCTATTTGTTGGAATCGAAACAATGATCAATAATCGTTTCGCTTTTACGAAGTGAATTTTCACTGTGAATATAAATTATGAAAGCAAATTAACAAGGAAACAACCACCAATCCATAGCTTTTGCTTTATACTCGTGACCATTAGAAACGCGTTTTCATGATGATTTGTGTTCTCGATTCTTCATATTCTGAGAAACAAGAAGGAAACGTTACCTCATCTGTACTCTGCAATCTGAAAACTCCAAACTGTTCTTCCAGTTTCAGCCATTTTCTACTGAGTGAGATTTTCCCTCCATTTCTTCTCCCTCAGGAACGTCATCGGCAACATTGTTTTACGCAAGAGCAACCAATTTCACGGCTCAGCCTAAATTTGGGCCGACGTTGACCCGGCCCAATAAAAAAACTACGAAAAATGGGCTTTGCATCACATGTGGCCCAATCAATAAATTCAATTCTACTTCGGCCCGGCCCAATAGATATATTGTCTTTTTTTCTTCTGGACTATTAACCTCCAAAGTTGTTCACATGGGCTCGCCTCTCTATAAGATTTATTATTATTATTATTATTAAATTTATATCTTTTAAAGTTCAATTGTTAATTTAGTAAAAAATAATAATAATAAATAGATCTCTGTATTTTTAAACCCGACATTTTAGTCCTTGAAATTTGGGATAATTACGACTTTATCCTCAAGACTTTCACAACGATGCCGTCATCCTTATAAGGGTATCTTACCTTTATCTGAAAAATAAGTAGCACGTGACTTAGGTATTTAAAGAAATACACAGTAAGTAGCCACACTAGTGGGGTCGAAGAATGCAATCACATGTAATCACCATGGCTACGTTGGTTGTGAATCAATGCAGAAGCATCTCTCTCCGTAAGATATGGTTGAGGGATGAACCACGTGAAGCTGGTGAGCATGCGACACTCGATTATGTGTCGTTTAACCAAATGGGCCACTAATGGATCAAGTGGGTTGATCATTTTCGGTGAAGTAAAAACAACAATGACGGACACATGAGCTGTGACGTGTATTTTTCGACAAAGGAGGTTTGGAGAAGAGGTCTTCAATCATACATGACGTGACGTGATGTTATTGGATGGTGACACTGTCACTGTCGCTCTATCATCAAAGATTATGGTTTTCAAAAGCCAATCCGAAGGAGATGGACAAAGGGCGTGTATTAACTCCTGTGGTCCCCACCTCCACGTCGGATGATTCATCTTGCCGACCTGATTACACGCTGCTTTCATCGTGGCCGTACATTCAGTCAACATCACAGAGATGTAATTTTTCCCTAATTTTTAGCGTGGAGAGAAAATAATTGAAAGAGATATGACCGATGTCTTGTAAACGTTTTCCCTTCATATATTATAACTACCGTGATTTTTTTTTTTTTTTAACAAATTATAAAAATTATTTTTAAAATAAATTGCTAATAAATATTTTTACAGCAACGGGAATTACTCAGTGCTCAAACACCTGTCACATCAAACATGAGTATGGTAATGTCTTATTTTAATGACTCTCGACAATGGTACGATATTGTTCACTTTAAACATAAGCTCTCATGACTTTGTTTTGGTCTTTCTAAAATGCCTCAGACCAACGGAGAGACTATTATTTGATTATAAACTCACGAGGGCTTTTGGGTGAGAGCTTATACTCAAAGTGGACAATATCATACCATTTCAGATAGTCGTGTTCATCTAACAGATGCAACATTGCGTATGAGAAATATTGGCCTATAGTAGATGAAAGTCGAACCAAAAGACTTAGTCTAGAGACGAGGCAAGTCAGCTAGAGTCGCAAATGATTGAATATACATGGTTGAGCAAGCTAAAATTCTGTACGAGTTACGTATGGTTGGCAAAGGAAAACCTCACCTAAAATCCGACAAAACTACAAATGCTTAAGCAGATAATAAAATGGAATGTCGTATGTTGGATGATGGAAGTCCCACATCGACTAATTTAGGGTGTGATCATGGGTTTATAAGTGAGGAATACTAACTCCATTGGAATGAGGCTTTTTGGGGAAGCCCAAAGCAAAGTCACGAGAGCTTATGCTCAAAGTGGACAATATCATACCATTATGGAGAGTTGTGTTCCTATAACATCGTAAATTACAAATTATTTTTATTATTTTGTATGGTTTTATTTATTTCAAAGTAATTAAAAAAGAAAAACAAATATAATTTAAAAGTTAAAACCAACTTGACCCATAAAATAAAAATATCCGAAAGTCAAATCATATGAGCAACAAAGGATAATTACAAGTTCATCCACATCTGATATATAAATAAATCCAAGTGGTATTAAATTATAATAATCGAATAAATCGAATAAAGATTTTCGGAGTAAATAATGAACATATATCGTTTCGAGGCCCTGAATCATGTGTTTAATGCTCCAACTCATTATCTTATTAATTAAATATTTTATTTTATAACCATTTCATTTTTATTTTATTTTATTAATTAAATTTTGTTTTTTTTAATGTGTAATCATATTTTCATTTTAAATACATTAAATTTTTAAAATTTTAAATTCAATTAAAAAAAAAACTCTTAAATACAGACAATGAAGTAAATAATCTCGAACAAAGATAAACACGAATCGGTGGGTCCCACGTAGAAGGGGGCAAAATCGTCAAATTCTAAAAAATTGCTGATAATTTCGAATGAGAGGCCATTTTGATACACCCACTTGTGCCACTTGGCTTTCTTTTAACACCCACACACCCTGACGTGGCGTTAACTAAGCAAGTTGCCGCGCTACAGACAAAACAAAAAAAAAATATTATAATAAAACAAAAAACCTGCGTATTTCTTTGGGCCTGAAGCGATGTTGATCCAATCCACCATGTGACGATGTTGGGCCCACGTAGGCCCAGGTGGGCCCATTCGTATATTTATATTCGAAAAACTCCCATTTTGTCGTGTGTTACAAGCTTAATATCTAACTAATATCAAAATAATTAAAGAGAAATAATAATAATTATTAATTAATTAATTGGATTAGTTGGGGGAAGTGGGCCCTACCTCCACGCATATATTTTTTTGTCGTGGCATGTGGAGTGGGTTAGAATATTGTAATAATAAAAAAATATGATTGGAATATTGTGAAAATAAGGGTATATCTTCAAGTGCATGAACGTCCTCCCAAATTTACTTTGCCGACGTGGCCTAACAAAAATATTAAATATTAAAAAATTAATTAATTAATAAATAAATAACACTATGCCAAAAAGTTAGGACGGCGCGTCGTCAAATTTGGCGGCTAGTGAAGCCATATGAATTTTCCAGCCGGCAACATGGTACTTTTTTTAATATAATATTTTAATTTTTTGGACGGGGTTAAAAATAAATAAAATTATAATAATTAATTATTTATATAAAAATAATTTAAATGCTGGAAATAAATATGGGCGTTGGTTTTTTCTGCCTTTATCGAGTTTCTTGGGATTTTAATTATAAAGAGTTAAAAAAAAAATAGAATATTTGTAAATTACAAGTCAATAACGCGTCCTTTCTCTTTCTTCTGTGGTTTGGCATTCACCCAATCACCCACGCTAATTCAACGTAATTATTTAATTATTTAAATTTTAAGTTAAATTAATAAAATGGCTCTTTATACTTTTTAAATAATCTACTACTTTTTTTAAAAAAAATATAGGTGTTACAAAATTAATTTTAAACTTTAAATTTTTTATTAATACTTTTTAATTTAAAAATACTTGAAAAAGATTTAAAAGTATCATTAATAACTTTTAACATTATAAAAATAAATTAGTTTTTACTGATATATGGACAAAAACGGCTTATTGACACTACATAAATTATATCCAAAATTTTTAATATTACTTTTGAAAGTTGATGAAATTGTTTGGTATAAAAGTATTTTTTAATTTTTTAAAAAATTTAAACGTGTTTTTTTAGTTTTTAAGTTTTTTTTAAAGGCATTAATGAAGAATAATTTTGAAATTTATTTATAAATACATTTTTTTTTTATTTTAAAGACATTTAAGACTTTTTTTTTAATGCCAAGTAATATGCAACTTTTAATTTTATTAAAATATAATAAATTTTATAAATTAAATTAAATAATACCTAGGAAAATAAAATCTAATGTTCTATTTAATTTAATATCTTTATGTAAAAATAAATTTTTATTTTTTTAATTTTTGTTTAGTAAGATATTTTCCGAAAGAATAATTTTTTTCCTTGGATATTTTATTTGACTCATTAAAATGTGCATTCCATTTTTTTGACTGATGGTGAAAAATCAACTGTTTGACCAAGATTTTTCTTATTATTAATAATAATAATGTTTTTATATGGGCGCGTTAATTTGAAGAACAATATCACGTTACAAAATAAAACAATATTTGAATATTAAAAAAGATGCATGCACGTAGACATTTTCACAACACTAACGTATCAAATAATATACGATCTTCGATTCACATCAAACAAATCTACCATAAATTTGGGTTGGTTCGATTTTACCTAGTCAAGATTTAAGCGACCCGAACCTAAATAAGTTCATAATCTAACTCAAACAGTACAAATTGAGTTATGTTGGTCGAATTTTTACGATTATAAAATTTTTTAAACACTCTTAACGTGTTTCTTTGACCATAATCCGAAGGCATTTTTAAATAGTTATTGTTTTGGTGCAGTCAATTCTGGTAAACTACTTTTTTTTTTTTTTTTTTTTTCTTTATCATGAACCTAAAACATGACTATAAGGGCATAAAATTAGGCAGACAAGCCCTACGCCTTTGAATGCCACAACCCATGAAGAATGTCACATGGAAAATGCTTCAAAGATAGAGAAAGAGGGAGGGATGTGCTAGAGAATATACCCATAACTCCGTGTCTACCGAACTTTCATATGATAATTGACGTTTTTATCTACTAAAACTATACTCGAATTGATTATTCTTGTATACTGTTCGGGGAAATGGGTTAGAAAATATAATTTATAATTTACTGTCTTGAATTATTAATTTCAAAATTGGATCAATTTGAGCATATCTCACTCGGTTAAGGCAGACTGACATGTTGATGAATTAAAAAACAGAGGTGTACACAAATTCAGTTGAAAAAATATTTTGGGCCGATCCGAAATTTTTAGTTTAATTGGATTGGTGACCCGAACCACTCGAATAAAGATTTCAAGGTTAGATTAAATTAGGTTGTCAGATTATTGTTATTTTTAATTATTTTAAAAAATCATACTTATCTATAATTCTCAAATTTACTTCTATAGTGTTTGTAATTTATTTGAATGGGAAAAGAAAAATTAAAAATGTATTATATAACATTTTAAGTAACAGTAAGAATATTAATCTTTTTAAAATTTTAAAGATATTATTTAAATTTTTAAAAATTTATAAGTATTTTTTAATACAAAATTTAGAAATATTTTTATTAATTTATTATACGTAAATTCACGAACGAATGGATATTAAATTTATAATACACAAAATTGTATTTTTCCTTAGAATAAGGTACAATAATTTAACGCTGTCTCGTTCTATTATTTCTGAAAAGAGAAAAGAAAAATAAAAAAAATAAAATAGTTAAAATAAATCATATTTTTGTCGTGGCGTCGACGGTGGAAGGAAACAAACTGTGGAGTTGACGGCATAAAGAAAGGGGGTAAAATGGGTATTTTACATGAGTGGGCCCCACTTGCAATTTGCCTACTTCTTCTCACTTTCTTTCCGGAAGAACTCACCCACCTAACCTTTTTTATTAAAACCCTAAAGAAAGAATCCCTTCCGCTTAAAATTAAGTCACTTCTCAACAACTAAAATTTTCATTTCAATTCCAAAGTTCTTTCAGTTTCTCTTTCAAGAATCGATAGTCTCCCAACTTCTCTGTCAAAAATCCTTTCAGTTAACTGTCTTCTTCTTGAAGAATGTGTGGAGGTGCTTTAATCTCCGGTTTTATTCCGACGACTCACTCCCGGCGAGTCACAGGCGAACATCTTTGGCCTAACCTGAAGAAACCTGGCTTCGGTAATCAATTGTCCAAGCCGGTTAAGTCTGATATCATTGACATTGATGATGATTTCGAGACGGATTTCCAGCATTTCAAGGACGATTCCGATTTGGAATTTGATGTGGAAGAGCTCGTTGATGTCAAATCATTTGCCTTCTCTGCTGGTGGAAGCCCTGCCGTTCCTTCTGCTCGTGGTAACTTTCTTTTCCTAAGCTAAGCTTCCTTTGATTGCTGTTCTGATGTTGATTTTACGCCTTACTGCTTCTTGTTCGGTAGTCTATCTAATTTCTGTTCGGTGACTTTTAATGCATGGCCTCCGCTTGTTCTCTTTCTGTTTTCGACATTCAGTTGGTTTGTGGTAGATCCGTTACTGCCTTCTTGATTTTCATAGATGTTTAGGGAGCATGTTCTTTCATGTGGAAATTCACTTTCTGATCATTAGGTTTCGAGCTGCAGAAACAAATTCTTTTGAGGAATAAACTGAGAACCTTTTTACTGATTTAAAAAGGAAAAAAAAAAAAAAAGAAAAGAAAAAAAGGACGGGAGTGATAGATCTAGCCAATAGCCATGGATTTACATTTTTTATTTGATTATAAATCAAGCTTCTATGCCTCAAATTTTTAGATTTTTCTTAGTAGTACCATAAATATTGATGAGATTACCACATGATCGAATTTGTTACATGATGTTTACTGCTTTACATTTTTTTTTTTTTTTAATATTAATGAAAGTTCTTTTGAGTTCTCAATTTTTGGATCGGCTTACGTAATTACCAGATAAGTTGTGGCTTAGTGGTATTCATCTTATTGGTTGAACATTCATAAAATGCTTTGAACCTAATTTTTGTTATTATTTTCTTTCTGTTCTTTTTTTGTTTGTTTGTTTTGGTGGTCCTTCCAATTATTCATCTTATCGTAGCCAATGGATATTTGAAAAAAAGTGGATGATCAGTTAACTTTTCCTAACATGTTCCTCGTTCCTGTCGTTTGTAGTTTCTGGATCCCTTAAATCCTTTTATTTCTGGACAGGGATGGATTCGATTTTGTTGCTATGTTTTTCCCCCTCCCGATCTGTCTATTCTTTCTTCTTCATTGATTTTAAAAAGATGTATACACTTTGCAGCTTCAAAATCTGTAGACTTCTCTGGACAAGCTGAAAAATCTGCAAAAAGAAAGCGAAAGAATCAGTACAGGGGAATCCGACAGCGACCATGGGGTAAATGGGCAGCAGAAATTCGTGATCCACGGAAAGGAGTCCGTGTGTGGCTTGGCACTTTTAATACTGCTGAAGAAGCTGCTCGAGCATACGATGCTGAAGCACGACGAATTCGTGGAAAGAAAGCTAAGGTCAATTTTCCCAATGAAGCTCCACGAACTAGCGGAAAGCGTTTATCCAAGACAAACCTTCAGGAACCAGTAGTTAAAACTAGTTTGGCAAAGACCCAATCAGATCAAATCCAGAACAATGGTTTCGTGAGCAACTCTGATGAAGATTACTATAGCACTGTGGGTTTCCTGGACGAAAAACCGCTTACAAATCAACTCGTCAACATGAATTCATTCCCTGCTAACACAGATGTTGCAATAAAAACCAGTCCACCTTCTTCTGATGTTGCTCCCATGTACTTTAATTCAGATCAAGGGAGCAATTCGTTTGAGTACTCTGACTTTGGATGGGGAGAGCAGGGTGCTAAGACTCCTGAAATCTCGTCCTTTCTTTCAGCTGCCATGGAGAATGAAGATTCTTACTTTGTGGAGGATGCATCTCCAAGCAAGAAAGTTAAGTATAGCCCAGAGACTATGGAGGTTTCTCAAGGCTCTGGAAAGACTTTATCTGAGGAGTTATCTTCTTTCGAGTCTGAGATGAAATACTTCCAGATGCCATATCTTGATGGCAGCTGGGATGCATCAATGGATGCCTTCCTTGCAGGCGAGACAGGAAACCAGGATGGCGGTGTAAACTCAGTCGACCTTTGGTCCTTCGATGATTTTTCGGGAATGGTCGGCAGTGCCTTCTAAGCAAATCTTGTCCAGATTGCTAGGTTATGTAAATAAAAGCTACATATTAGTGAGTTTTTGACATCTTTATCAGTTCCTCCCTAAAAATTTCCAGCTTTTTCGAAAAAAAAAAAATGTATACTCCTTCCTTCAGGATGATGATCTCCTTTGTTTGTTTTGCTTGTAAAAGCTTGAATTTCTTACATAAACTTATTGCAGGAACATTTGTCCTCTGTTATGGCAATGGACGTGAGAGAGATCTGCCTGCATAAGCAACGGCTTAACAACAAACATGGCTATTGGTTTGTATGTTGTGAGGACATGTAGTACTACTTGCTTGGTAGGCTACATTTCATGTGTCGAGACCATAATATGGGAATCTCAAAACTAATATATGCTTGTACTGATGATGATAGACTACATGTTGTTGGCTTGCTATGGATGTTGAAAACTTGATGAATCTCAATTCTGCCTTTTGTGTTTGTGTGAATGAGAATGGATGGTTGTGCTATTCTTTTCTTTTCAGATTTCTTCCATACTACTTTATAGTTCATAAACCGAAACCGAGAGGTTCGATTATTGTTTTGTACTTGGCAAATATGCAATGAAAATGTTTGTTCGTGTGCGAATGAAGATCTTTACAGTTTTGAGCTAGAATGGTTGTGCTATTCTTTTCTTCAGATGTCTTCCATACTTCATCGTTCATAAACCGAAACCGAGAGGTTCGGTTATTGTCTTGTACTAAGTAAATATGCAATGAAAATGCTTGTTTGGGTGTGAACGAAACTTCTCCGATCGCATCCCTATATCTTATCCTGTTTATGTGAAGTTTTGAGCTAGAATTTTTGTAGATCATGTTCATTGCTTCATCTGTTTCCATGTGTTTCTTCTGAAATTGCAGGTTTGAAAGACGATGGGATTGTGAAGATGTTTAGAGTTTGTAATGGAGGAGGAGAAAAGCGTGGGATCAGTTTGGCTCTGGTTAGGTCAAAGTCATGGATGGGCCATTTGTTGAGCATGGCATCCTCGTTTTGTGGTTTGGCCCTATTCTCCCACTCACATGTTATTGCAAGTTCCTATTTTATGTTGTTTCTTGCATGTGATTTCATTCGACCTTTTTTCTCAAAAGACTTCAACTTTTCAAAATTAAGGAATAAAATACTGTTTCAAATAGTTAATTTTTTTTTTTAACATATTATCTAAATGTATAATATAATTAATAAAGAAAATCATTAAAGTTAAGATTTACAAATAAGTTCATTTGGTGGAAGACGTCTAGAGTGTTCATATAACCTAAAGTTAACTTGACCAATTTGGACTGCATAACCCAAACTATAAATGCTGAGTTGGGTTCTTATTTAGGGGACCAATTTAGACTACATAATCCAACCTATGCAAAATTAGTGTACCATTTTTATTTATTTATTTATTACAACACAACATACCACTAGACTTTTAATGTTGGGAATTATTAGGTGTGAGTCCCACATTAGTTAATTTAGTGGAAGATCATGGGTTTATGAGTTATGAGTGAGGAATATTATCTCCATTGGTACGATCTTTTGAGGAAGCTCAAAGCAAAGCCATGAGAGCTTATGCTCAAAGTAGATAATATCATACCATTGTGGAGAGTCGTGATTCTTAACATGGTATCAGAGCCATGCCCTAAACTTGATCATGTCAATAAAATCCTCAAATATTGAACAAAGAATTGTGAACCTCTCGAATGTGTAGTCAAAAGTGACTTAAGTGTCGAACAAATGGTGTACTTTGTTCGAAGGAGAGCTCCATAAGCCTCAGAGGAGGTTTATAGTGTACTTTGTTCGAAGGGAGGATGGTTGAGGATTAATTTAGTGGAAGATCAAGCAAAGCTATAAGAGCTCATGCTCAAAGTGGACAATATCATACTATTGTGGAGACTCGTGACTCCTAACATTTAAAAGAATTAAAAATATTTAATTGTTAATATAACATGTATCGTAGATAAATTAACCCAAAAATAAGTTATTAATATAACATGTATTGGAGGGCTGATAAGTAAATTTATTTAAATAATTAAAAAAAAACAACCCGATAAATTAACACAAAAATTGTCCCTCTTCATAATTATATCTTTTGAAATATCAAACTTCCAATTACGGCATTATAGGCAATTATTCCATGTACCATTAGAAAAATAAAATCTAATCATCTCAATCTCGTGATTAAGTTAAGAACACTTGCAATTTACTTGATTATTATTTAAAAGAAAAACAGATACCTAATTTTGTTCTCAAGAATACTACGAAAATTCGTTGCTTTTACAACAAGTTGCAAGCCTTCGAAGAACAATAGAGAGTTTAAGAATCTTAAGCAAGAAATCAAATTCCAAATTCCGCCATTAGAAGTTGCTATTATTCTTGATTTAATCCGTGTTCTTCGTGTCTCCAAAATGGCCGTCAATGGATGTTCTCGCATCTGGAACTCGATTTTCCCATCGCTTTTGCTGCCACCAGATCTGTACGCTTTATACTCTGAAACGATTCTGCCTTTTCCTCCTCTTCATCGCTCTCTTCTCGATCATCGCCATCGCCATCGCCGCATTGCCTGTAATCTTCCTATTAAAGCCTCGACAGCCGATCTTTTCTCTCGAATCACTGCGATTGGATTGGTACAACATTAGCCTCAACTCTGCCTCTCCATTTATTTCTTCGGTTTTCACCTTGACTCTCAACTCTCGAAACCCTAACAAAATCGGCATTAAGTATAGTCCGTCGAGGCTTCTCCTGATCCACGATGGAAACGCCATGATCGGAACCATACGAGTCCCCGAAGTGTTCCAGCCCGCTCGTAGTGACGATCGGAGTGTTCGAACTCGTCTTCTGCTGCATCGATTCAATGTCGATTTGTTCGATGCGACGTCAGAGTTTGTTGAGATGAAAATCATTGGCGATGTTGGTGTAGAGCTGTTTGTGCTTCATATGGCTGTGATCAAGATGAAGGTAAGGTTTATTTGTTATTTGCATTCAACTCTGGAGCTTCCATGGAAGAATTTGCTGTGTTGATTTTGAAGAATTTGTCTGTAAATTAATTCTCCTATTGCGGATTGAATTGTTGAGGATTTTGCTGTAGGTTGCTCTGAACTGCAATGTGGATGTTCATTACAGAGGGCTTAATTTCAGAGAACAATTACTCGGCAATGGAGCAACCGTTGCAAAAGCTTTGGTACGCTCATCTTCCTCTCCCCCTAACTATATATTAAGCTTATGTTTCAATAAATGATCCTGAGTTTATAACAAAAGAATACTGTTTGAGGTGGTATGCTCAAAGTGGACAATATCATATCATTTTGTACAGTCGTGTTCGTCTATCATGGTATCAGAGTCATACCTTAAACTTAGTCGTGCCAATAGATTGGTAAATCCGACAATATCATACCATTGTGGAGAATCGTGTTTGTCTAACATGGTATCAGAGTCATACCCTAAACTTAGTCATGCTAATAGATTGGTAAATCCTCACATATCGAACAAAGGACTCCAAAAGAAAATGAGGAGTCGAGCTCAATTAAGGAAAGACGTGCTTTGTTCAAGGGGAGGTGTTGGATGATGAAAGTCCGTTTATAATAAAATAATACTTTCTCCAGGTGTGAGGCTTTTTAGAGAAGCCCAAAGAAAGCCACAGGAGGTTATGCTCAAGGTGGACAATATCATACTATTGTGGAGAGTCGTGTTCATATGACTCGATAACTCAACCAATCTCGACTAAATCCAAATTATAAAAATTGGGTTGAGTTAGATCTTTTTTTGTTCGAGTTAGGTTGATTTTGGTTCGGTTTGTAGATTTATTATTATTATTATTATTTTTTTTTTTGTTAGAAAAATAAGGTAATAATCCAACCCAACCCACGGTACTCTTAAAATAATTAAGAATATTTAAGATTTGTAACCGATGTTAGTGACGACGAATTCCGACTTATAAATATTTGTTATTTAAACTTTATGATATTTTAGTTATTAATGTAATATGCATCGTAGTTAAGTACAATTTTTAAATAATTAAAAAAAGCAACCGGACAATCCAACCTATAGAAAATAGATGATTGGATTGGGTTGCGTTCTGAACTTTGTTCGTGTTTTTCGGGTCATCAACCCAAAATTTGAGAGAGTGGTTTTTTTTTTTTTTTTTTTTTTTTCTTGAACTCTAAAATCAATTATTTGTAAATAAATTATGATTATGAAGGAAATTAATTTACTTAGTCTCTTGATTTTCAGGATTCATTTCCTTCCAACTCCAACACAACGGCCACAAACTGTGGCGTCGCTTTTTACTTATGAAGATGCTTAACTCACTAATTAAGTAATTAATGGTTAAATGTTTTGTTTAATCTCTTTTTGGATTTGTTTGTTTTATTTATTAATTTCTTCATGACCCAATTATTTGGATTTTTCTTTTTCTAATGTATAATCCATTTTTTTAAACAACCTGCCAATCAAATCATCCTCAATGTAAAATTTTCATGATTCTACTTAATCACAATATATATATATATAATCATATTATTAATAAAACACTAAGGTTTCTTTAATTATCTATTATATCATTTTAATTTCATCAAAATTTATCTAATTGATAGGTTATTTTATCATCTTGTTGATGTCGACACGAATAAAATTAGACGTGTACACCCAACCTGCTAACCCGAGAACCCAATCTGATTCGGGTTGGGTTGGGCTTAAAAAGACTTTAGGTTCGAGTTAGGTTCATTTTTTGGAGCCCAATCTAATTCGGGTTGTGTTCAAGTTTAAAATTCAAATCAATGGGACAACCCGACCCAACCCGAAATTCTTAAAAAAAAAAAAAAAAAAAGCCCAAGCCCACGCAGTTCACCCAGAGTAATTTGTTTGATCCTGCCACGTGGAACACATGCACTCTTCGAGTGCAGACTTTCTCTCTCTCCTCTTGGATGAGAGATTGAGTTAAAAGTATAATGATGAGTCATCTATCTCGTTGTCTCTCTTCTCTTCATCTTCATGGTTCTCATCTGACAGCGTTCATCTTCTCCGTTGACGTCGTTCATCTAATAGTGGACGTCGATGTCACTCGCCAGTCACCTCTTTATTTCTCCACCAGACTCTCTTCTCAGCTCCCATTTCTCCACTCGACTCCGTCTCTGTGTTTCTCGTACGTCAATGAAGATTGAACGTTTAAATAGGATACATGATACCAACTAATACCTACCGATAAGAAAAATATAAACTAACTAAATCTGAGAATAAAATAGAATATACTGTTATTCAAAATTTAACTGATTACCAATATCTAAATATATTCCCTAAATAATTTATTCTTCAAATATTATAGAATTACTAATATCATATATTCCATAACTAATTCAAATCCGAAATAAGTTGCATTGAATTCTAATAAGTCAGACTTCTCTACTCTATGTTTCTTCTCAAGACTTCTCCTACAGTAACTTGTTTCTCCACTTCTTGTCTCTTCCCAGTTTGGAACAATCCAAACCTAACTTGGAAATAGAGCGTTGCTTTGGGTTAAATGGTAAAAATTTTCGAGTTGAGTTAGAGTAACCAATTCAACCAACTCGAACTTTTGAGTTGGTTCAAAAAAATCACTTGTTAAGAATGAGAAATAAAAATAGAAGACGTCAATCTAACCCGACTTAAATCAAACAAAAGTAAAGCCAAAATTATGTGTCTTAAAATATGTTGTCAGTTATCATATCAGCCGATATTAAAAATATACGAAAGTAAATTTATAATAAATCAATAATTTTATAAGATAGGATTAGGATGCTTTTAGAGCAAAACCTTCAATTTTGAATTTGTTGGGCCGGCGACTTGAATAGTGTTCACAACTCAACTCAATGTTAGGTCATAGTCACAACTATTTATTGTAGGCGGGACTTGGTTAGTTTCGACTCACTGTCAAAAACTCCTTCCAGTGGAGAAGCTAGAAGCCTTCCCGATCTATGAACTGCTCGAGTTCTAAACCAACAATTCCTAACTTGATTGTTTGACTTCTTATCTTTCACGCATATTTAAATTGAATTGGGTTGGATTGGATTGTCGGGTTACACTAATAAATAAAATCTCATAAAACTTAAATATCAAGCATTTTCATCCAACAAGAGCTACAGTTAAACATCATTTCAACTAATGTACCGAGATGATTAAGTTAGGGGAAATGACTTTAATACCCCTATTATGGATAACGTCTCTCCACATATTTTTACAATAATATGATATTTGTTAAATAGAGACATTGTGATATTATCTTACTTACCCAACCTGACATTAATAAAACAAATAACTATATTATTAGCGTTTGAGTTGGAAAAATCCTTTTTACCTAACATTTTAGGTTGGGTTGGGTTGGGTTGAGTTGTCGAATTAAAACATTTACAAGTCAAGCGGTTTCGCTCCTCTCCATCGTCAACTCGGTCGATAATCTTTTCTTTCATCTCCACAATGGTATGACATTGTACACTCTGAGCTCTCTCATGACTTTGCTTTCGGTTTCTCAAAAGGCTTCGTAGCAATCGAGATAGTATTCCTTGATTATAAATCCATAATCATTCCCAGCATGACATGACTCTGTTACCATGTTAGAACACGACTCGAATATCTTAAATTTGGTAAGTGTTAAAATTTTCGAAAATAACATATTTCCAAGAACACTTGATTTTATAAGAACACGAGAAGAATCCGTCTCCATCGATTAGTTTCCGAAGATGAACACATCAAACTTCCCTTGCTTCTTCTCGATCTTCTTCACAGTTTTCTTCATCGCACGAAGCTCTCGAATCGCCGATGTTCATTCGTCGCCAAAACACGTCGCCTTGTTCGTATTCGGCGATTCCTTTTTCGATTCTGGAAACAACAATTTCCTCAACACCACCAGGGGGTACCGCGCCAATTTCATGCCCTACGGCGAGACTTTCTTCAAATATCCGACCGGAAGATTCTCCAATGGCCGTCTCGTGCCAGATTTCATCGGTGAGTACTCGAAACAGAGACTGAACTAAAAATCGTACTCGCTTCAGTTTCGTATCTCTTTAATCTTGAAAGAAAATTTACCTTACAGCGGACTATGCGAATCTGCCATTGATTCCGTCGTATTTAGATCCTCGCACCAAACGCTACAACTACGGCGTGAATTTTGCATCCGGTGGAGGCGGCGTTTTAGTCGAAACTCACCGAGGATTCGTACGAACCAGTCGATGAAATGCATTGATTTGTTGTTTTGCGATCTTCGTTTTCTCTGATGAATGTTGAATGTATTGATTTAATTTTACAGGTCATAGACCTTGGAACTCAACTCAGGTACTTCAAGAAGGTGGAAAGATCGATTAGGAAGAAGCTTGGAAGATGCAGAGCCCGTAGATTGCTTTCGAACTCTGTTTATCTGTTTGGTATCGGAGGAAACGATTACATCGCTCCTTTTGAAGGCTCCCCTGTTCTTAAGAAGTACACCAAAACAGAGTACGTGAATATGGTGATCGGAAACGCCACCAAAATGCTCGAAGTAAGTTTTACAAAATAATATATATTAATTTCCTCCGATTTTTTTTATATAAATAGAGATAGTGTAAATGCTCGAGCCCATAGATGTTTAGTTCTCCTCCTAACCGATCGATGTGGGACTCTCCAATCCATCGTCTTGAGGGTCAACGTCCTCGCTGGCACTCGTTCCTTTATCTAATCGATGAGGGACCTCAATCCACTCTCCTTCAAGGCCCAGCATCCCTGGCACACTGCCTCTTCTCCACCCCTTTCGGTGCTTAGCCTCCTTGCGAGCACTCGTTCCCTTCTCTAATCAATGTGAGACCCCCAATTGCTGGTACTCGCTCCCTTCTCTGATCGATGTAGGACCCCACACCGCCTCTTGTCTACCACTTTTGGGACTTAGCCTCTTCACTGACACTCGTTCTCTTCTCTAATGAACGTGGGACTCCCAATCCACTCCCTTTTGGAGCCAGCGTTCTTGCTGGCACATTGGCTCTTGTCCTCCATTTTCGGGGCTTAGCCTCCTTGCTAGCACATCGTCCGTTTCTGGCTCTAATACCATTTGTAACATCCCAATCCCACCGTTAGCACATATTGTCCTTTCTGATCTTTCCCTTTCGAGCTTCCCATCAAAGTTTTTAAAACATGTCTAATAGAAAGAGGTTTCCACACCTTATAAACAATGTTTGGTTCTCCTCTCCAATGAACGTATTATCTCACTATAGTATCTCTTATTTGCATACCAATGATTCTTCTCTCAATAAAAATGAGCACAATTCGAGTGTATATATATATATATATATATATATTTAGTTTGAAGCTGGATTAATCCCAAACTATTTGATGTGGTAGGAAATATACAAGAAAGGAGGAAGAAAATTTGTGGTTGCAGCGGTGGCTCCTATAGGTTGTACGCCAAACACGAGAGTGAAGACAGGGAGGCAGTATGGCAGGTGTTGGGATGAGCCATCGGCGCTTGCAAGGCTGCACAATCAGCTTCTTCCTATTGCTCTGCAGAAGCTTGCTAACAAACTCAAAGGATTCAAATACACCGTTGCTGATACCTATACTGTGCTTCAAAACAGAATAGACAACCCTTCAAAATATGGTAACCCCCCCAACAATATTCTTCATCTTTCTTAAATTCTTTTTGATTTTTAGTATATTGGTAAGGTAAGGCAGAGAGTGACAGCGTATATTTTCTGATTTTGTGCTTAAAACAGTGTTCATATAAAGTAAAGACAGAGTAGAACGTAGGAGAAAAAACTATGCCATCGAACAATTTGACACGTATCTATAACTATCCAGATGAGAGCTTTGGTGTCATTAGCTGATGGTTAAAGTTAAATATAGTAGAACTCCTTTTTGTCTCTCTCACGTAAAGAGGGTGCATGTTGTCTTGGGAACTGTTTGTAGAATAAAGTCTCCTAAACACCTCATTCGGTAAGCTGGGATTGAAAAGAAGTAGGTAATCTGTAACGGCCTAAGCCCACTACTAACACACATTGTCCTCATGTTGGCTTGGGAACTGGTATTCTTGTTCATTGTAGAATAAAGTCTCCTAAACACATTATTCGGTGAGTTAGGATTGAAAAGAAGTAGGTAATGTGTAACGACCCAAGCCCACTGCTAACAAATATTGTCCTCTTCCCTTCGGGCTTCCTTAAAGGTAGGGAGAGGTTTCTGTCGAGGATTGTTGGGAGGGAGTCTCCTAAACACCTCATTCGGTAAGTTAGGATTGAAAAGAAGTAGGTAATGTGTAACAATCCAAGCCCACTGCTAACAGATATTGTCCTCTTCCTTTCGGGCATCCCCTAAAGGTTTTTAAAACACGTCTATTAAGGTTTCTGTCGAAGATTGTTGGGAGGGAGTCCAACATGGGCTAATTTAGGGAATGATATCGGTTTATAAGTAAGGAATACACTTTGATTGGTACGAGGACTTTTGGATAAGCCCAAAAAGCAAAGCCATGAGAGCTTATGCTCAAAGTGGACAATATCATACCATTGTAGAGATCCGTAATTCCTAACCGTTTCCACACCCTTATAAAAGGGTATTTCGATAACGAATTACTCACCATTTTAGCATACCGTCGCTTCGTTCTCGAACGAAATTTGATTGAAATTGAGAGGGTTGTGTGTGTGTGTGGATGAAGGTTTGAAGGAAGCAAAAGTGGCATGCTGTGGAAGTGGAGAACTGAGAGGGACACCTACCTGTGGAGGAGTGAGAGGAGGAAAAAAAGAATTCGAGTTATGTGAAAATCCCAATACACATGTGTTCTTTGATTCTTTTCATCCCACTGAAAGAGTTTATGAACAGTTGGCAAGGCTATGGTGGAGTGGAGAAGGCCAATTCATTAACCCCTACACCTTCAAACAATTCTTTTCACTCATTGTTAGCCCCCCCTCCTACTCTTCCAAATTTACATATCTACCCTTCCCTAAATAACGTTTCAAAACGCTCGAGAATAGCTCGACCCTAATTGAGACATATTGTATCTTTGGAACACCCAAATTTAAATTNNNCATATCTACCCTTCCCTAAATAACGTTTCAAAACGCTCGAGAATAGCTCGACCCTAATTGAGACATATTGTATCTTTGGAACACCCAAATTTAAATTTTCACACATATTGAAAAAAATAATTTGCATATCTACCCTTCCCTAAATAACGTTTCAAAACGCTCGAGAATAGCTCGACCCTAATTGAGACATATTGTATCTTTGGAACACCCAAATTTAAATTCACACATATTGAAAAAAATAATTTGCATATCTACTCTTCCCTAAATAACGTTTCAAAATACACGAGAATAGCTCAACCGTAATTGAGACATATTGTATCTTTGAAAGACGGAAATTTAAATTTTCACACATATTGAAAAAAATATCCGTACCCTTCTTTATCGTTGTTTATCGCTTTTAATTACTTGAAGTTTTAAAAATACACGTTAATTTATATTTATGAAATACTAAATTGAATGTTTTTTTTTCCTAAATCTTTTTTTTTTTGGGCTAAATTAATAAAAATACTTTAAAATTTATTTATTTCATCAATTTTTTTTAAAATAAGTTTGAAAACTGTAATAGATTTAAAAAATACCAATAAAATTTTAAAATTAGCAATAAAACCTTTAATTTTTTCTCTTAATGGATCGAAAATATTAATGTTACTTTTGAAACCTTATGTAAAACTATTGACGATAAAAACATTTTTAAACTTTTAAAAGAAATTCTAAACGTTGTTTTAAGTTTTTATAGATATTATTAAAATATTATGAATATTAATTAAATAAAATAATTTAATTGTAAAAGTATTTTTAAATTCTTATTAAAACTTAAATTAATTAATTAATATTTTTATTAATTTAGACTCTATTTTATTATTATTTCTTGGCTTTGAATCTATTTCATTTATTATATTTGTTGGGAAAATTGTGAATAAATATAATTTATATAATTTAATTTTATATCATATTTATATTTATTCATACGAAAAAGGTTAAATATAGCAATTTGTGGATAATTTAATATACATATTTACTTACGATATTAAATATCATAATAAATTTAAGCATCGTGCTAAATTATATTAATTTAATGATTTTATAATTATTGGGTTAGATTTTTTTTTCAATTTGAGTTGGGTTAAGTTTTTGAAAAATAAAAAATTCGAGTCGGTTCACACATTTACATTTTTTTTATTGGGTCAACTCGACTAACCCGAACATAAGGTTTCAACTCAATCCTACTTTTACGATTATAATGATAACTAAATGTATTTAACGTTTGTAACCAATGTTGATAATGTGTTGTGACTTGTGAATGTTTGACGTTTGAATTTTATGAGATTTTAGTCGTTAATATTAAAAATATTTGCGAAAACCATCGCACCTAAATGAGTGAAATTCTCTCCTTATAATCATTCATATAATCAAATAAATTAGATGCAAGATATTGGATCACAGACTAAAAGAACCATGAGAATATCTGCTAAAACTGTGAGTTGTATACTATGAGAATTAAATAAATTACAAATTATATGAAAGAGTAATAAATTGATACAAGATATTTGACTATAATAAAATAGAAAATATGATAACTATGGTAAATCACACGTAAACGGGTGAAAGTTTTTTATTTATATTCATTTACAGCGTCAAATAAAACATTAATTTGCCTGTAATAAGAGATCAAATATGATACCTATTGCAAGGAATGCAAATATCACGTCAAATATGATACAGAAACCCTAATTTTGAAGACTCTATCTTGCGTCTATATAGTCCATAGCCCAGGGTTGCTTTTCAGCACCTAACTGCAAATAGTTCTCTTTTCTCTGATTTTTAGTCTCTATGGATCTCTCGTTGGTGCTTTTCAGTACTTGACCATTACACTGCTCAGATATTGTTCATGTTGTCAATTCTGTAAGCCAATTTTTGCATGTCCCTACTCCATATCACTCTATTAAGGTCAAACATATTTTTCATTATCTTAAGATTATCAATTCATTCCGGAACTTGTTGTCGCTGGCAAACATCACATATAGTATGTACCTTCCCATCTTCAGGTTTTGGTTGACATCTTCCCAAAAAGTGTTTCTCGACCTCTTTAAATTTTTTTGATCCAAGCTTCACGTGCATTCAAATCCGACATTAAGGATATTTAGCCTTAAATTATGTTTTATCATATATATCATATTTGACCGTTTATTATAAGCAAATATCTTGTATGATTGAGAATATTTTGCCTTCCATTACGGTTTAACATAGTTACCATATTTGATTCTTTATAGACAAATATCTTATATGATATTTAGCATCCCATTACGGTTTAACGTAGGTATCATATTTACGGTTTTATTATACGCAAATATCTTGTATTCATTGATTGCTCTCTCCATTGTAATTTATTTGAACCTATAAATGATTATAAGTTGAGAATTTAACCATCGTTTAACTGCGATGGTTTTAGTAAATATTCTCGTGGTATCATAGCAAATATTTGATTATACTTATCGGAAAAAAAAGATCAGAGTTGCTAAACCGAGGGAGTTTTGATATCATGAAAATGTTTGCTACACCCACCTCACCTAAATTTTGGTGAAATTCTCTATTTATAATAATCAAATAAATTACAAATAAAACAAAAAGAACCATAAATAAATAGATATAAGATAGTTTCTTGAAATAAAAGAAATCGTAATAAAAGACAAAATATCCTCCATCATATAAGATATTTATCTATAATAAAATGTTAAATATGATATATATGGTAAACCATAATTCATGACTAAATATCTTGTACAGGAAAAATAGTGATTTCTTTAAATTATAATAAATAAAAAAACAACATATAACTCTACAAAAAAAAATAAATAAATAAATAAAGAATTGTGTTGGATTATAAATTCTGCTCAAGGTGTTCGGGTCATTAGCTCAATTATTAAAAAAAGTTAATGGAACTAAAAGATTTTTCTAACCAAAGCCAACTCGGTTATACCAAGTTGAAAAAGTGGAAGGAGAGTCGGGGTCGAGGATCCGACTCTCACCAACCCTTTCTGTTTAAGTATTGGTTTGTGTGTCACTTATTAGGTAAATCATTTAAACCAAAACAAATTAATTTATTTATTTTAACAAATTATTGGTTTCAGACTTCCAATATTTTTAAAAATATATAATATTAACTCAAATTTTGAAACATTCAACCAAAAAATGTTAGAATATATTTTTTTTTTTTACACATTTGTAGCTTTCAATTTCCTCCATATGTAATATAATATTTATATTGAAAAAATCCAAATAGAAATTGCTCAAGAAACAAATTTTCTAATTCTTATTTTTTAATTAATTAAATTATTATAGACCTAAAAATAAGCTAAATCAATAAAATATCCTAAATTTTGTAATTTTTATAATTCATATTTTTTTTAATTAATTAAATTATTATAGAGGTAAAAATAAGCTAAATTAATAAAATATTATAAATTTTGTAATTTTTAGAAACACATCCTTTAAACTTTCAAACTTTTAAAAAGTTTCAATAATGAATTATAAAATATCTTTATCATTAATTTGAATGGAAAATATTAATATTTTATTTAAAAAATATCCTTAAAATTTTAACCGTATTTCAAAAAATATTCGTGAATTTTTTTTAATATTTCTTTTAAAAATTCAATAATATTTTGGAAACTTGGCACGAACAAATGTATTTTTTTTTATTTTTTAAAAAAAACTAAAAGTATTTTTAAAAGTTGTCTTTCTAAAAAAACTAATGACATGAGTATTTTTTTTAATTA